GCAGGGGCTCTGGCATCGGGGCACAGTGGGTCCCGAAGGAGCTCGGGACCCCTGTCTGTCCCTGGCCAGGCTGCAGCCCGAGAGACCTCTGACCCCGTGTCTTTCCTTCCCCTAGGGAGTGTCCCAAGAACCAATGAGGTTCCCTGCCTCCCTGTGCTGCCTGCCATGCTGTCCTTGACCTTCCTCCTCCTGGTTACCAGGTTGCTCTGGCCCATCCTCCCGGCCACCGCCCTGAGTGCTCAGGATGGAAGTAAGTCTCAGGATCCCGTCTTCTGGGGGGCCTGGCAGGGGCGGGGGGAGCAGATCTCCGTCAGGCCCAGGTGGTGACCTACCCCCGAGGCGAGCGCCCCTGGGCCGTAATGGGACGAGCCAAGCCCTCCCCCGCCTCCAATGACAGCACACAGTGGTTGCCCGCCCCAGCGCCCAGTGACGACCATCCGAGCACTGGGCAGATGTCCGAGAGCCTGTCCAGTTTCCAGGGAAAGCGCCCTGCTCGGTTAGCGGCAAGTGCTATGGCCAGAGGAGGGACAGCAGGGTGAGGATTTTCTGTCCCAGCTCTGGTCCCCGATCCCCCCTTGGGCCAGCAGCTCCGTTACCACCTGGGAGCTTGTTAGAAATGCAGACTGTCTGGGGCGCCTGGGTGGCTCAGTCGGTTGCGCATCCGACTTCAGCTCAGGTCACGATCTCACGGTCCGTGAGTTCGAGCCCCGCGTCGGGCTCTGTGCTGACAGCTCGGGGCCTGGAGCCTGCTTCCGATTCTGTGTCTCCCTCTCTCTCTGCCCCTCCCCCGTTCATGCTCTGTCTCTGTCTCAAAAATAAATAAACCTTAAAAAAAAAAAATTTAAAAAAAAAGAAAGAAATGCAGACTCTCGGGACACGGGCGGCCCTGCAGACTCAGAGCCGTGGGTCCTGCAGGACCTCCCAGCGAGTCCCACCCCACGACCCTAGGTCAGGGCTGTGCGGCGAAATCACCGGAAGGGGCTCGTCAAAGATGCCGGGCCCCAGGCACATCCCACACCCGTGAAACAGAGTCCCCGGCCGCCCCCTGTTCCCCTGACGGTCCTCGAGTCAGCCCCCCATGTGGGCATGGTGATTATTCCTGCAACCTGGGCTCCCGGCCTGGGCTCCCCCCCAACCCAGCAGCCTCTCTGTCGGTGTAGGGGGGGGGCCCTTTCCAGTTGTTCGAATGTTTATCACAGGCGTGTGTCTATGCAGCCCTTTGGTGGTTTTGTAAAGATGGAGAGAAAGCATTTTCCAACCCTTCTGGGGCAAGCACTCTGACGACTGAGGGGACAGCAGGGGTTTTCCAGTCGGGTTCCCACCACGGACACGCTTGCAGAGGCCCCACTAGCCCCCGCTGGGACACGGGGGATTTCCTGCTGGCTCCCTCGTCCTCTCCCTTGGCCTAGCTGCCCTCACGAGGTACACACCTGTGACTGTGGCCTGTGAGGACCCCGCTGGCCCCGAACGTGCCTGCCTTGCACGAACTCCCACCTCACACACCCTCTCTCTTGTGGGCACCCGAGGCCCCGGGCACACGCCCACACGTGGCACCCGCCACGCCGTGTTGTACTCGGTTAACGGCGCGTCACCGTCTGCTGTCTGTCCATGTGTGTCCGGTCCCTAGAGGGAACTGGTGTGGCGGGATGGGGGGCCTGACTCATCGCCCTGTGCTGGTACTTGGGGCCCCCGGGGTCAGAGTTCACCCAGATTGCAGGGTGAGGCTGGCGATGAGTGAGTTCATTCCCAGACTCAGCCTTCCCTAGATTGTGGGCTGGTTGCACCTCCAGCAGGGGTGGGGCAGCTGGGTCCAACATGGCTGGGCGGGTGTCCCGCAGGAGCTGGGGACCTTCCTTGTGGAGAGGAGTGTGCCGACTGCGCACTCCTGGCCCAGGAGCTGGGGACGCCGAGGCGGGCCCCAGGGGACACGGAGGCAGCCTTGCACAGGGCCACCACTTCCCAACACTCAGGTGAGTCGGCAGAGCAGTGACACCTGCCTCCCCCTCCCCCGGAATCTGCCCGCCAGGACGGGATGCCTCAGGCCAGGTGACTCAGCACCCACATGGCCCTCCCCTCGTTTTGTCCCTGTCTTGTTTTCCCACTTGAGACCCGCTCTTCGCGCTTCGATGTGTCCTCTGCCCCGAGCAGGGCTCCCGTGTCCCCAGGGGCCCTGTCCCGTCACTGACTGCCCCCCACCGGCCCCAGGGAGGGTGGTCAGGAACCTCCTGAGGCCCAGCCGTGACCCACGTGTGACCTGTCCCCTGCTCACAGACTGGGACAACCCCTCCTGCACCGAAGGCGTGGTTTCCGTGTCGAGGGGTGAGCGGGCCGTGATGTCCTGCAACATCTCCAACCCCTTCTTGGGCGTCACCGTCTACCTGATTGCCCTTGGGGAGGATTCCCAGCCCCTCTTCAGGGTGACGCCCCCAGGCTGCTTCTGCCGGGGTGAGTGGCAGCTGCAGGTCCGCGGAGGTGTGGCACAGCTGGTGATTCCGAAGGCGAGCGATGCCCAGGCTGGGTGTTACAAGTGGCATCTCCAAGGTCTGCAGAGGAATATTAAAGTCACCACATTGAACGTTTTAGGTGAGCTGTGCTCCTGTTTGGGGGGCTGTGCTCCCCTTCAGGAGGGCTGTGCTCCTGTTTGGGAGGGCAGTTCAGGGGAGGAGCAGCTCTCTTCCCGGGGCTGGCGTAGGGGGGGTGGGGTGGGGTGGGGGAGGCGGCCCGGGAAGGGCAGGCCAAGGTTCCAACAAAACAAAGTGAAACAACACAAGCCCCTGCCCCCAAAGGCACTGGGCACCTGATCCTGAAGGGGGCTCGGTGTGGGGGGCTGCCCTGTCCAGGGAGCAGGTGGGGCCCCCGATCCGTCCGCTTCTCCAGCCAGACCAGACCCCCCTCTCCCACCACCCCCTTCCCAACACCGGCCCTGCCCCCCCAACCCTGTTCCACTCCCTCTCCTCACGTTGCTCAAAGTTCGCAGGGCACCGCACCCCTAGCCGGCTCGGATCCGATCACAGCCACCTGAGCTCTGGGGACAGGGGCGGTGAGGGGGCTGGGAACGGTGCCCCCAGCCCGGCCGGACTCATCTGACACTTGGGGCTGGGGGGGCAGCATCAGGCGCGGAGGCCCAGGACCTGAACCAGACAGGAGTCCTACCCCTCACCTCTTCCTGCGGTAAGTGTTCTTACCTGCGCCCGGGGAGCCCCTCGGGTCCCCCGGGCTGTCCCCGCCCTCTGGGCCTGGCACCCATGCCACCTCCTGCCTACAGGGGTGGTGTCCCCCTTGAGGGTGCACTCCTGGCGGGAGAATAAGTGACTTCCCCGCCCGCTCCCCCAGGCCCGCAGATGCCGTGCCCGGGGTGGGCCGAACGCCAGTTCCAGGTGGTGCTCGTGGTCACCGGTGTCAGTGTCGCCCTCGCCATCCTGGTGGTCACCGTGTTAGCCTGGCGCCGACGGCACAGTCCCCTGTACTCGAAGCCCCCAGGGGTCTGAGGCCACCGGCACCGAAACTCACCCCCCAGCAACGGAGCCCCGCGTGTCCCACACCCATCTGGCTGACAGAAGCCCGTGCACCTCACAGAGGTGGCAGACAGGCGCAGGCCCCCGTCCCTGTCTGCTGGCCCAGGACACCTGCTCGGCCCTACGGCCCAGGGGCCAGCTCCCTTCCCCGGGCGGAGGGTGGCCCCAGGTCGCTTCTCTGGCTCCCCACCCCAGCCGCAGGCTCTTCTCCACCTGGGCCCCCGGCAGCTCTCTGGGCTCCCCGACTCTGTGGTCAAAGATGGGAAAAATCTCAAGCTCTAAAACATTCGACCTCAGAGGACCTCTCCCTCCTCTGCCCCATCAGGGCCGGTGGGGTGGGGTTGGGGGTGTACTTCCGGCCTCGGGTGCACAAGGGGCTGCTGCAGCCTCGGAGGCACCCCGCTTTGGGTCTCAGGTTGATCTTGGGCACACCCCTGTCTTTGACCAGGAGCAAGAACAGCTTTGGGGGACCGTCCTGCCGGCAGTCCTGGGGTCAAGCTGAGGGCATAGAGGCCTGAGGTGGGGAGCCAGCCCCGCCTCCACCACTAGGGGGCTCGCCAGTGGGGGCTGGCGACAGGTGACGGCTCTGCCGTGGCACATGGCTCCCCCCTTCTCTCCCCCCCAGCCACAGGGCCCCTCCCCCACCGCCCCTCTGCTGACCCTTCCCCACCCCAAACCCCTTTATGTCAGATGTCTTTCTAATCACAACTGTATGACTCCATTCAGTGTGTTCTTAAGAGGGACATACAGGCTTTTTCTAAAGTACACGTTCAGTGCTTTGGAAAACACCCGTAACACCAATCCTTAAGATGAATAAAACAAACCAATCGAGAAACCATGAAATGACCTGGGAAATACACATTTTTTAAGTGGGGAAAACAAGTCTAAAAGAAGCTGCTTCCTGTCTTCAGGCACTAAAAAGTCCTAGAACATTCAAAAGAGGCAGATATTCGGGTTCCTCCCTCACTGCGGAGAGCCCCACACGGAGGAGGGCCCTGCGTGGCGCCTTGACTGGGGCCCAGACCTACAAGGAAATTCTGGGTCCGGGTCTTTGTGTTCATTTCCTCCTTGCTGCTTGTATTTTCAAGGGTTTCTCTATGGGATTCTCTCTCCATCTCTCTTCCCCTCCTCTGCTGTTGCACATAGGTTCTCTCTCTCTCTCAAATAAATAAATACACTTAAAAAAAAAAAGAAAAAAGTGACCAGGGCAATTGGAGCCTGAACCCCAACCCACCCAGGGCACCCCCTTGGCTTTCCCCTGCTCCTGCCCTGAACCCCGAGCCTGCGGAGACAGGAGTGGGTGACCAGTTGTCTGTGAGCACTCAGCAGGACACTGCCGAAGGGGGAAGGGAGTAAGGATCGCCCCTCCCAGCCCGGCTCTCAGCACCTCCCCTTGCCCATGGCACCGCCTCCAGAAAGCCCTCCCAGAATGCCTGGACCACCAGTCACAGCCTCCTGGCCTGGCATTGGGGCTTTTGAGGCGGTGCCTCAGAGGTGGTGGCAGGCAGTTGGGTGCTGCAGACAGGAAGAGAGCCGAGAGAGGGGGCCCTGCCTTTCCCTTGTCGCTGGGTCTGTGGTGGGCACGGCGGCGGCAAGCATGGCCCCAGAGTTCCCACTGCTCTTTGAGCTCCTTACACTGGCCTGCACCCTGCTCAGGGCCCTGGCCACCCAAGGTAAGCCCTCCCTGCGTCTCCCACTGCGCTCCCCCCTCCCCCAGAGGGCTCAGTACCCCCCACCTGGGGATGCTCCTTCCTGGGAAGGGGGTGGTCTGGGGACGCTGAGCATGACCTCCCCACCGAGCCCCCCACCCCACTGTTGGTGCCGTCTCGGGGCAGAATCACCGAGGCCTTGGTCTTTTTCTTTACCTAAATGTCTTGGGGAGTCTCTTTTTTGTAATTAGCAAGGCTGCCTTTGTTATGGGAGGATTTTGTCTATTAGTTTGCTTTTTAAAACAGATACATGTGCAAAGTTCTGCAATAGGATGGAAAGATCCGCCACACACGGCAGGGTGGGGAGACTCAGTAGAAAAAAAATCTCCAGAATTTAGTTTGCTGAGAAACTGATGTTTGGATTACATCAAAACAGCTCGTGTTTGCACCAGGAAGCTGGTCCTGCTGGGCCCCAGCTGCACAGATGGGGACATTTCTGGGTGTCCCATAGACAGGCAAAGATGCCACCAGGTCTAGGTGCCTGGAAGTGATGGGGAAACTGAGGCAGCCAGAAAGGAAAGAGAGAAGGAGACGGGACAGTCTCTCTGCTGTCTCCACTGTCAGTCAAGAGAGGGAGAAGGTGTAGGGACAGGAGATGCGGTCGGAGCTGCCCACGGCCCAAAGGTCCCCTGGGCCCCTGTGTGGGGAGAGGTCACAGGCAGCCCAGCCCCCCGGGGCCCCTTCAGCCCTCGAGGACAGCCACGGGGGTGCAGTTACCCCGGAGCTGCTCCGGGGCAAGATTCCTGGCTGTGGTGACATGACAGCCATGGGCTGCCCCGGGGGCACCTCTGTCCCTCCAGCATCCCCTGCAGTGAGGAGGGTCCCTGCCCTTCTGGCCAGGCCAGCAGTGACAACAGGGGGTCCTTCCTGCAGAGGTGCGGCAGTACCCCCCCTACGCGATTGCCCCCGAGGGGGGCTCCGTCGACATCACCTGCTCCACCAGCGGGTCCCTGTTTGGGGTCTACCTGAAGCAGAGGTGGCCGAGGCCTAGCAGTGTGATTTACTACGAAGACGAGAAGGAGCCCACGGTGGATGAGCAGTTTCGGGGACGCGTTGTCTTCTCGGGGCGGCAGCACAACCTGACGGTCACCGTGCACCGCCTGCAGCCGGCCGACACAGGGGCTTATGCCTGCCAGGCGGTCACGAAGGACGAGGTCTGGGGCCCCGGCACCTTGGTCGTGGTGACAGGTAGGGGACGTGCCTACCCCAGGACCCACTTCCCCTGCCTGCCGGTTAGACCTGGCCCCCCCTGCCTTCGTCTGGGGGCCTTTCCCCGCTGGTGTGAGTTATTCCTTCCGGCGTGAGCGCACTGCCTCCAGGAAGGCCCCGGGTTGCCCATCCCTCCACCCCAGAGCCCCCCCGTGAGCCCCGAAGGCTCTCTCGATCTCGAAGCCCGCCGCCCGCCCAGTGTCGCTCTCCACTCCTTCCTCAGACAAGCCGCCCGAGGCAGCGGACACGAGCCGGGAGGCCCTGCTGATACGCTTTTCCTTCCCTGTGGCCCTGGCGATGGGCTGCTTCTTCATCGGGCTGGCGCTGGGGGCGACGTGTGTGCTGAGGAGGACACAGGTCAGTGTGAACCCCCGGCTTTCACCTGTGTCGCTGTCAGCTGGCTCCTCTGAGAAGCCCCAGGGAAACCCCAGGACCCTGCAGCCCGTCCACCAGGGTCCCTGGGAGGCCCGAGAGCTTAGACGGCAGGGTCCAAG